ACCTTAAACACTTAAAGCTGTAAGCTAATGATAGTTATATAAGAGCAGATGCTGCTGGTGCAATAAGCTGTACGTTTTACGTCCAATGGATGATGATCTGATTAGTCGACTAATCACAAAAATAATCGGTGACTAGTCGACTATCAAAATAATCGTTTGTGGCAGCCCTAGCACACAGATTATTGTTACGAACACTGCAACAGCAGCAGGTGGGGAAGGCTGCGAGCTTTGGCACTGTTAAAAGATCTTTGGCAATGCGATCATGTGAAACTTCTCTTCTTTGCTGTTATTTTCATAGTCAGAGTGGTGGAGCAGATGTATGCAAACAACAGATTAAGGGTGTGTCTACATCCAGCTACGCTAAACATTGGGAGTGGAAATCAGGCCTGTGCACGCGTCTATTTAGATCAATTATTTAGTAAACAAAATGTTGTGTGAGCACAGTCATTGTAACTATTTATACATGATTGTAAGATTTTAGACTTTATTTACAGTTTATTAACAATCACAGGTGAGTAAGACAACAGCACCGTTTTCTTACTGATACTATCGCCGCAGCAAACCATCACATTTAGTACCTGCTAATGTCACCTGCTCTGCTTTTATCACAATCTTGCTGCATTTTAACTTTAAAGGCTTGCTGCGTGTCCTCGCAGCGGGCATCTAAAATGATTTGAAATCATTTACAAGTGCAGAAAGAAAACAAGCGACATGCAGAGCGAGTCTACTACAAAGAGAAAGACAAGGTAGACAGATGAGAAGCGCCTGGCAGACAGATAGCTCTAGACGGAGGCCATGATTTGATTAATGACTGGGGCGTGATGTACCCAAGCACTGATACATGACATCCCCATGGAAAGAAGATCCATCAATGCAAATCCAGCTCCGTTGCCGTCGTCCAGAGAAAAACCTTGACCCTGGCGAAAAGTCATACCAACACCTGACCCTCGCCTTTCTTTCTCCCCTAATCCAACCATCCATCCAGCACTCCTGCATCCATCCTGCCTTGTCTCAACAGCATTTGCATTCTCTTCTCACATTAAGCCTCTCTCTCTATCCTTCGCGCTCTTTCTCTCTCCTCAGCCTCCCCGTGTCACGCTATCTCATGTTTCTCTCCCCTCTTTTAATACCCTATTTGCATCCAATACAAGCAGGTGGCTTGCAACTTGGAGCCGATGTGCGAAAGGACAAGCTCTGAAGACTGTGCGCCCAAGCAAACACTGTGTCTTATTTGAATTGTTCTGCCAGAGAGGATATTTCAGTCGGTGGAAAAGAAAAAAAAGCAAACTGCAATGGAGGGGAACTGAGATGGGGAGTGTTAGGAGGCAACAGGTTAGGCAGGTGACATGTTGAGTGATGCTCGGGGAGCTGGGAGAGACCTTGGACTGGAGGATGATATTGCAGCTGTGAGACAGAGGGGCAGAGAAAGAGACGGAGACGTTGTCCCAGTAGGGGAATGCTTTTATGTTTTTTGCTTTTGAAGATATTTTTGGACAGAAGCTGATATTCCTCCTTTGCTTACTTCCCATTTCATGGTCAAAAAGATAAAAAGCCTCCGTCTTAATGCAAATAGCAGTC